ACTCTTCCCTCCGCACCCAGCCTAAGGGCTCCTTTGGTGTGGTGACTCCCATTGCTGCTGGTAGAGAGCATGGCATAGTCCCCTGAGGCTGGGTCTGATTGGGAGTGACGATCTGGCTCCCTGGGTTCCCTGATGACACTGCCTCGGGGCCCATTATTTGTAAGAGTATTTGCTCCCCCACTGCCGTGGGTGGTCTGTTCCTGATCTTTAACTGCTATTCCATCCTAAATAAAGACATGATGTGGCCACACATCTTCCCGGCAGTGGTCCTGTCTCCAGGTGACCTCCATCAGCAGGGGGAGGGGGAGGGAGTGTGCTGTGACCCCAAACCTTGGAGACCAGGGCCTCTTCCTGCCTGCTGGACTGTAATGACCCCACTGGGCAGAGAAATTCGGATATCCATGGAGACTCGTGCCCTTAATCTTTTAAGCAGCTTAACAAGAAGCCAGTTCAACCTCTAGCACCTAGAAGAACAGACTGACCATAGGCCCGGGACCCCTTTCTATCAAGGACACGCCCACTGTTACAGAATTGCCCAGAAGTGCAGCGTGACAGGCACTGCCCCCCGCTGAGGATGGGAGCCAGGGTCCTGCTGCTTCCCCGCTTGTGAGCTTCCCAATAAATCTCACACTTATGCCAAGTAGCACTATTGGGTGCCTGTCCATGCCCCCTCTGGGTGACAGTCATTTGTGTTTACCGCTGGCACTCTGGTCCAGTGAGTCAAGGACAGGACTGAGGAGTCTGCCTTTTAACTGTCCCCCTGAGCAGTTCTGGTGCAGGTGTCTGGAAGGGAGCTGGGGTGACTGGGGCAGCACTGGAGGAGAGAAGGTTGTCCCCATGGGGGGCCAAGGAGGTACTGACCGTGATGGCCAGGACCTGGTGACCAACAGGACCCAAATAAGAGGACACTGAGGCCAGATGCGGTGGCTCACACATGTAATCCCAGCACTGTGGAAGGCTGAGGCAGGTGGATCACCTGAGGTCAGGAGTTCAAAACCAGCCTGGCCAACATGGCAAAACCCATCTCTACAAAAAAATACAATAATTAGCCGGGCATGGTGGTGTGCATTCGTGGTCCCAGCTGCTTGCGGGGAAGAGGGCTGGGGTGGGAGGATTACTGGAGCCTGAGAGGCGGAGGCTGCAGTGAGCCAAGATGGTGTTACTACACCTCAGCCTGGGCGACAGAGCAAGACCCTGTCTCAAAAAAAGAGGAAACTGAGTTGTCACTTCAACCTAGGGCTGACAGGACAAAGCAGGACGCCTTCCCCAGTCTAGACAGCATGGATGGGTGTGAAAGCACTGGAAGCATTTGCGTCACAGGTGGTTTGGGGAAGCAGAGTTTGAGGAACCTACCCCATGCCCCACAGGCGGGCCCCAGCCATGGCTTCCTGTGTCTTCCACAGTGGGATGGGCTGCTGAAGCCCCCACACTCTCTGACCCTCTTTGCTACTAGAGGAGTTGGCCAAGGGGGCCAGGCAGGAGTGGGCCAGGACTGCAACATGGGACTCTGCTGGGGCCCAGCTGCAGGCTCAGAGCTTAGCCTGGGCAAAGGCCTCTGCCACAGGCAGCCTCACCCTGCTAATTTTTTAGTAGAGATGGGGTTTCATCATATTGGCCAGGCTGGTCTTGAACTCCTGACCTCGTGATCCACCCGCCTCGGCCTCCCAAAGCCAGGAACTTTTTATTTCTACCTGGCCTCTTTGAAATAAAATCATGCTCTTCCCCTGGTTTTCCCGATCTCAGGAAACGGGCCCTCCATCCTTTCTCTTGCGTGGGGGGATCCCCTCTCTTCACACCCACATCTTGGCTGCCTCTCCTTGCTGATCCCAGCCCAGTCCCCTGCCGGGCTGAGCCCTGTGACTCCCTGAGCACCCATCTTAAGGAGCATGCCCAGCATGTCCATGCCTGACCCAGCTGCTGTGTTACATCTGAATGTGACACATGTCACATCTTTTTCTTTTTAGGGTCCATCTGTCTCCTTTACCAGAAGCAAACCTCCATGAGGGCAGGGATGTTTACTTGGCTCACTGCTGGAGCCAGCACCCAGTGTAGTGCAGAGCGGGCACCCACTCAGGACTAGTTGTATAAAAGATGAAGGTCGTTCTCTGCTCTCCACAACCTACAGCCTTGTCCTAGACCCAAAGCAGGAGAAAATGCTGAGAGTTGTCCGCTCCCGACTGTGAGGTCCCTTCCTATCCCCCAGCCCCCGGCCCCTGGTCACTCTCTGACTGGGTAAAGCCCAGCTCCACCTCTGACCTGATCACCTAGGCTGGGCTGGCCAAGGCCTGGCAGGGGCCATGAGTTGCCACATGCAGGGTGGTGGCTGGACATCAGCCTCGTCTCCGCCCCTTCCTCCCATACCCCTTATTGCGCTGGGTTCTCCGGAACAGACATCTGCCTAGCCAAATCCAGCTGGTTTGTCCAGGTCATTATCACTGCCTATACCAACTGCCCGTGGGCCAGTGTCCACCCCCAGGCCACACTTCCCAAGGAGGTGCCTAAGTCTGGGTCTCAGCTGCATCAGTAAGAGGGGTGCAGTCATAAGACCCTCCTCACAGCCTCAGGAGGACTCTGAGCTCATCACTGCAAGGTGCCTAGAGCATCAGAGCTCTTTGAACGTTTTCGCCACAGTCATTTTTGCTATTTCCCAGGCACTGCTCTAGTCCTGGAAGTACCGGAATGAATAAGATAGCAAAATACCTGCTGCCACAGAGTGACCTTATATTGTAGTTAGGGAATGGAGAACAGAAAGTGAATCTGTATACAGATAAACTCAATGGAGAAAAAAGTTACCAAAAAAACAGCAAGTGTGAGGCTCTGAGGCAGGACCAAGCTTGGCAGACAGATGGAGAAAGGCCGGGAGCACAGTGAGGGGAGGAGGTGAGGTCAAGGAGAAGGGCAAAGCCACTGTGACCTGAGCTGGTGCCTTCTGGGTGTGGCAGGCCTTAGCTGCAGGGGCCTGGAAAGGGCACAGCCCCAGCATCCTGGGTCCACACCACTAGCCTGCACTGGCCTTCTTGGTGCCTCAGTTTCTCGTCTGCCATATGAGGGCCGACCCCCACTGGCACTAGATGACTCTGATGCTGTTGGCCGCACCCTAACGCCTATTTAGTACCTGGATGTGGATGGAGGCCCATGGCCTTTGGAGAATTCTAGAATCTCAGCAGGAAAGACCTCGAAGAGCACCAGGTCCAAGACCCATGTGTGATGCCCACTTCCAGTGGTGCCTCGGGCAACTTCTCCACAAGCAGTTGCATACATTCCATCAACAGTTGGCTCTCGGGTGACTGTCTATACTGGGCACCGGAAAGGTCATTACGGGCCATTTGTTTCCAGCTCAAGAGGCAAAATGAAGAGCCCAGACTGGAGCCCGAGTCCTGGGTTCAAATTCCAGCTCTACCTCTTCGCTCAAAATCCTCCTGGGTGAGCTGGGCGCGGTGGCTCACGCCTGTAATCCCAGCACTTTAAGAGGCCGAGACGGGCGGATCACCTGAGGTCAGGAGTTCGAGACCAGCCTGGCCAACGTGACAAACCCCATCCCCACTAAAAATACAAAAATTAGCTGGGCATGGTGGCGGTCGTCTGTAATGCCAGCTACTCGGGAGGCTGAGGCAGGAGAATCGCTTGAAACTGGGAGGCAGGGGTTGCAGTGAGCCAAGATTGCACCACTGCACTCCAGCCTGGGTAATAGGCTCCATCTCTAAAAAGAAAAAAAAAAAAAAAAGGCCAGGCGTGGTGGCTCATGCTTGTAATCCTAGCACTTTGGGGAGGCCAAGGTGGGTGGATCAGGAAGTCAGGAGTTCGAGACTAGCCTGGCCAACATGGTGAAACCCCGTCTCTACTAAAAATACAAAAATTAGCTGGGCATGGTGGCGTGCACCTGTAATCTCAGCTACTCGGGAGGCTGAGGCATGAGAATCGTTTGAATCCAGGAGGTGGAGGTTGTGGTGAGCCGAGATTGCACCATTGCACTCTAGCCTGGTCAACAGGGAGAGACCCTGTCTCAAAAAAAAAAAAAAAAAAAAATCCCCCCGTGTGGCGTCTGCCTCCTGGGTGTGCTTTGGGGACGGGGTGAACACACATACTGTGCTCAGTTACAGCAGTGCCTGGGCGCACTCACCCTCACTGTCCTCCCAGCCATTCCCCAGGCACACCCAGTCTACACCACCTTCCACAGAAGGAAAACTGTGATCCTGAAGGACACAAGAGGAAAGACAGACCTACCCAGGATACGCAGATCCTTGCATTCAAGCACTCATCCGCAACACAAAAGACATCGCCTGCCTGGAAAGGCGAAGTCGCCCCGCCAGGAAGTCCGAAGCTGCGGTGAGGAGGCGTGGTTTCTAGGCGCCGATCCATCCTAGCATGACGCCAGGCCTTCTAGTTTAGGTAGCAACAGGCACAACAGCCTTCACAGGAACTGTCGCCTTTGTGCCCAGCTCTAGCCAGAACCTGTGCAGGATGTCATCCTTCCACCCCATAAGGAGAAACGGAGGCCAACCCTCAGCTCCTGTCCTGCTTCAGCATCAATTCCAAAAAGGAGCCATTTCTTTCTTCAGGAACACGCTTCTACAGAACTCAGGCTAACAAGTGAAAACTAATCTTGTGTGCTTATCTCAAGGACTGTGCAAGCTTATCCAGGGTTTCAGGCGACAGCTGTTGGCATGAAGCCCTCTTGAATAAATAGGTGGAGGCCCAGGCTGTCCCTCCCTCCCAACCTCCCAGAGAGCTCCAGCCTCCTCCCTACACAACCAGCGAACTCAGCTCTGGGTAAAGGACCCAACTTGCTACAGTTGCCCAACTACCCGGCTGCATGGCCCCATGAGTCATCAGGCATCGTGGCTTACACCTAGCAGGGCGAGCAGATCCCACTCTGGGCACCCATCTTCAGTCCTGGACTGCCCTCCTCCCCAGATCTCACAAGGAATGTTATGACCAGTTTGGGATGGGTGGGTGGGCGCCTCACTCGGCTAATTTGCCAGAAAAGGAATTCACACAAGTACTTTCCCTACAAAATAATTTATTCCAACACACAGCAACAGCAGAGACTCTATGTACAAGCACACTGACGCTCCTGACTACCCTCAACTAGGGGACCCTTTTCTTCCCCCTTGCCTTGCGGACCTCTTCTATCAAATCTTTCAGGTACTGGATCTCCTTGGCCAGGGAATCCGCCCTCTCTTTTAAAGCCTCATTCTTCTTTTCCAGCTCTTTGCACTCGCCAGTGAGGGCCTCCTGCTCCGCCCTCTTCTTCTGGCGGTACCTAGTGGCTGCTGTCTTGTTTTGCTCCATTTTTTTCAGCTTCTTATCCAGTTTCTCACCCTTTACTTTTGCTTCTACCATCTTCTCTCCAGGAGGGTCGTAAGGTTTGGGGCGGGCAGAACCACAGAGAACACCTGGAGACGGGAGGCTCCTATTTGGAGAGCCCCTGGTGGACGGGCTATGCTGAGGAGAGCCCAGATAGGACTCCGGGCTCATACAGATGCCACTATCATTATCTGAGGGGCTGTCTTCCTCCTTTATGCACGGAGGCATCACGGCAACATAAGCAGTGGCATCTGGCTTCCTATCTCCTTCAGTGATATCCACTTCACTGCCCAGCTCTAAACTAAAGGAATGATCTGGAGTGGAGGACAGGACCCCTGGGGAAAGGGGAAGAGGTTGCAAGAAGGTGAAGGGGGCAACCTGGTCGGGTTTTGTTAAACTTTCTGGGAGATGGCCAATTGGGTTCACCGTCTGGGGGGGCTCCTTGTTAGTCTCTTGGACTAGGGGGGCAAAGAGATCACACGTGTCATCCAACGTGGTCAAAAGGTCATCTGGCATGGTTTCCAGGTCATCTATACCCAACAGGGCATCAAAGTCGAACTCCTTCAAATCCATTTTCTCCAACATCCAATCTGTCCCGGAGAAGGCATCCTCTGCAGAAGATTTGAATGACAGGGCCAAGTGAGTCAGATACAAAGATAACAGGCCCCTAACCCTAGATCCCACCCAGACGATGTGGTGGTGGCCCACTCACCCTTGCCGTTGTTGGAGGGACTGACCAACCCATCCACAGCCAGCCATTCGGAGGAGCCCGCCTTAGCCTTGTCGCTGGAGAACCCATGAGGTCTGAAGTGCTTGGCCACCTCCAGGTAGTCATCTAAGAGACCTAGGCTTTCTTCAGCCCCCAAACCCGACTGGTCGAAGGGGGACATCAAGTCCCCCACCAACACCTCGCTGCTCAGGAAGCTCATTTCGGTCATGTTGCGGTGCTTTGCTGGAATCGAGGAATGTGCTTAATTCGAAGATGTCTTTGTCGGTTACAGCAACGCTGCTGCTGAATGCCGTGAGAAGCCTGAATGGGAATCAGAAGCCAACTCCCATTAGAGGTTAGCTGGTCTGAGAATTTCATCTTTCCACTTACGAGGCGGGACTTCTCTAGACCAGCCATCTATAGAGTTGGCAACGGGGCAGTTGCATCCGCCCCTCCCTGCTGCGGCTCAGGTTCCACAAAATGGACGCTCACGGAGACCAGGCGATTCTTCCACCGGCCACCAAGAGGAAGGCGCTCCGTCCCCGCGTCCAAATACGGCCAGGGCGGCCGCGCCCCGCCCACCGCCCGCCCTTGACTCACGCCCGCGCCGCCGCCCTGCCGCCGCCATCTTGGTTCCTGCCACGTTTCGCGGGGGGGAAAGCCGAGACCCCTGGGACCCTTGGGGGACTCGGGGTCCGAGGGCGGCAGGGCCCCTGTGGAAACAGTCCTGGCACCCGAATGCGCCTTCCCGATCCCGGGCACGCGAGCATCTCGGGGACACTCAAGCAAAGACCACGCGTCCCGGGCGCTCGTAAAATCGCTTCCTCCTTGGCGGCACCGCCCCGGCCCCAAGCCGCACCCCACCAACCCAAAACCTGCGCCGGCCCAGGGAGCACAGCTGGACGACCCGCCCTGGTACTCACGCCATGGCTTAAGCCGCTGGGGGGGGTGCCGCTGCAGAGCCTGGTGCTGCTGCCGCCGCTGCAAAGGCCAATGCTGCCGCAGGCACTGCTGCCCCTAATACGCCATGGTGGCCGTGGACCCTGCGGGCGGGGAGGAGGGAAGGTGCACACGTGCGAACCAAACTACATTTGTGGGCGGACGAAGTAAAAATGGCCGCAGCAGCCGCCCGCCGGCCCTTTATAGACTTCGTCTCTAAGGGGACGCGGCACAGACGCATCCTTCCGCCACGGCCACGTGACCATCTCTCCCGCCCGCTCGTTTCCCTCCCTTTGACGCCCCAACCGTTTATGCCCAGCGCGTAGCTGTGACGAGAAAAGGTGTTCGTTCTTATGACCTCACGAAACGAGAGAGGTGCACTACTTTACTAGACTTCTATGATCAGAGTCCGTTCTTTCCTTCGCCGCCGGAGCGCGGAGTGATCTCGCAGACACGCCTCGCTTCCGGTGTCGGCGCGGTGGGCGGGGAGAGGTCGTTTTCCGGCGGAGAGTTTTTATTGTGAAGGCCGAGGACGCCAGGTTATCGCGCGAGCTGCTGGCGAAGAGCGCGCGTCAAGTTGATTGGCCCAGGCACGGTGAGTCATATATACATCGAGCTCTTATTGGCTCAGGGCCCCAGGTGGGCGGCTGCTGGGAGAGGGATCACGGAGTCCGCGTGGGAAGGGTCGGGGTCTCGGGTCTCTCCCAGGCCTCAGCCCGGCCAGCCTGCTGGCCAGCTACAATCGCACTGGCTCCTGCCCCCAGAAGACCTTAGCCTAGCGCACCCCATAGTGGCCTCAGGGCCCAGCCCCTGCGGTCGGGTCCCGCCGCCCTCAGTGGAGGTCCGCCACTGGCGGCCCCGCCGCCACTCCCAGCCTGCGCGTCCTTCGGTTGCGGGGGCCGATTTCTGGCCTGCGGAAACCGGGGGGTTACCTGTTCCAAGCCTGAGTTTTCCAGAGACGCCATTCATAGCCGACACGGTGTTGCTGCCCCCGGGAGGTTGAAGGGGTCTCGAGAGGGCGCCTCGAGCCTGCCCACCTACACCCAAAGGCCAGCTGAGTCTGCATGGCTCCGCCTAAACTCTGGAAAGGAGCCGGGAAGACGCGCCGTCCTGTCGCCCAACCTGGGTTTTTACAATTCTCATCCGGCTCAAGTGCGAGGCTGCCACAGAATAGCATCATAGGGGAACTTCTGGTGTCCGAAGATTGCGTTCCCCTAAGAACAGAATTTTCTTCGCTGCCATCTACCTGGGGTAGTTTCGATTCACTCCGGGTTCTGAACTCCCCGGCCTAACCCGCTTTTCAGTGGTCATGCCCATGGCCCTGGGAGGAGAGGCGCTTGGGAACCCACGGCCACTTGCTCGGGGTTGTGCTTTGGGAAGGGGGCGGGGGGTAGTCTGTTTTAATACAGGAAACCTCCGCATCGTCCTCAGCCCCCTCCAGTCAGGCCCTGTGAAGGTGGAAACTGAGTTTCCGCCTCCATTTCACCGGGCCACACAAGTATTTCTATGATCGCTGTGATACCAAACCACCAGAGAAGCACTGCTCTAAATAACCACAGGCCATCTGCTGCGCTCATTCAACCTCGCCCACAAGTCCTTTCCAATGGTAAACCGAGGCCCAATGGGATGAAGCTTCTTGCTCAAAGTCGCACAGCTCCCAGTGGAGGGAGTATAGGGTAGGAGTTAGAAGACAGATTTTGGGGAGCTCACCCAAAAGAATCCTGGCTGGGACATTTTGGCTAAGTGACTTACCCTCTTTGAGCCTCGGTTTCCTCATTTGTAAAATGAGACTACTGATGAGTATCCTTGCCCCATGAAGTGAAGTCATACATGTAAAGCACTTAGCATAGCGCTTGGTACATGTAAGCACCCAATAATAGTTGCTATTGCTGCTACCCTTCATAGAACTCAGGTCACCTGACCCTGACCTGTGCCACTCTCCACATCCTCCTGCTGCCTCAGAGGACTCTTAACTATTATTTAATGAGATGAAACCAACAACTTTTTTAAAACTTGTATACAGGTATACACAAGGCATACTGGATGCTGGAATAAAAGTATGGTTTTTCTTTCTCTTTGGGGAATCATGAGTGTTGAGATATACAGAATTGGTACCAGGAGCAGTGGCTCCAGCCTGTAGTCCCACCTACTCAGGCAGAGGTGGGAGGATTGCTTGAGCCCAGGAATTCCAAGCTGCAGTGAGCTGTAATCACAACACTGCAACTCAGCCTGGGCAACAGGGCAAGACCCTGTCTTAATAATAATAAATACAGGAGTTGTCTAGCCTTTCCATGCAGAGGCAGTAAGAATCCCTGAGCCATTAGCCATGTCTTCCAAAGGCCGAACTGGGGACCCACAGGACGTGTTCTCCTTTTGCTATAGACAGTACCTCCTGACAGATGATGGTGCAAATGGTTGAGTATTAAAGTAACACTGCCCCAGTTTTGACACTGAAAAGGTCATGAAAGAATGACTCTCATGGCAGCCTGTCCCATCCATTCTTTTATAGAGCCCTAGCTCAAACACTTCAAAGGTTACTCTAGCTGAAAATGGAGACCCAGTACCACTCCCACAGGAAGATGTTTCATGCAACACACACAAGTCAACACTGGTGGAAAGGAGACTTTTATTTTCTTCTTCCTATGCTATGGAAGGACATTGTGTTCCCCAGTTTTATTTCCTCCCGCAAGGAGAAAAAGGATAGCAGCTCTCTGGGTCTCAGGGCTAAGCTGCCTCTACTTATACAGACCTAACCAAGACAGTACAGAAAGACTGGTGACTGATTCCAAATCTACCAGCTAACACATCCACCACCACTGATGGGCAGGCAAGTGACTAGAAGGCAAGCTGTGGACTTGGCCTCAGGGACCAATAATTAAAGACTACAAGGTGATCCAAATGTAAAGGTAAACACTTAGTGTGCAGCTGACCATGGAACCCACATCTCTGGTATTCTGGCCACTTAGAGTAAGTGGCATCTACAAGGGCTGGAGCCTCCCAGCCTGGTGCAGGGGTCAGCTCTATGCTAAGTCTCCTTGGCCTTGAGCTTCAGACAAAAGGGCAGAGTTCTAACAAATCCTCTGACAGCACAAGTTGTCAGCCAAGTCAGAGTCCCAAGGAAGTACCATGGCACAGAGCTCTGCACACTTGCAGTAGTCTGTATTTACAGAATACCCCCTCGGGGCCTCTCCTGGGTCCTTCCATCCTGAAGCTGATTCCCCTTCAAGACTATCTGCACTCTCACCTTGAGTGGAGTGCAGGGAGCACCGTCAGCGAATGTGGAATATGGACAGGTGCGCCTCCACCGGCCGGGACCCAGGAGACCATGGGCCTCTGCAATGCTTTCTTTAAACTGGAACTTCAACATTTATTTAAATAAAACTTTAAAACTCACAACCAAGCATGTAAAGAAAAATACTGTCATCTTGAACTCATTTTTTAGGAAGGGCAACAGAAGAGAACCAAAATAAACTCTGGAATTTATTAGGTTTAAGATAATGAGTGCATTTTTTAAGTGTTAGGCGAAGTATAAGGTTTGCTAACCTTGATGGCACACACACAAAAATCTCTAGATGGAGAAGTAGAAGATGCTATTACTTCAGGCAAAAGTAAGAGTTACTGAACAGGAAGGCAGAGTAGCGGGGAAAATTACTCATCTTTTCCCAAAGATTTAAAAAAGGGGGCAGGTGCAGAATGTCTTCTTCTATCTAAAAATCTCAAAGCGAGTGCCTATGTTCCACATTTTATGAAGAGGAAGATGGTAGCAAAAAGAATGGCTTGCCCAGTCATGGTCAGCAAACCCACCAGGACCAAGGCTGAGAGTTCACACTGCTTCTAGTTCTGAGGACTTCTTAAGAGGTTCTTGCTTGTAAAATGACAAAGTTATGGTTTTGTCAAACAGTTAAAAGAGATGGTCTTTAAGAAGAATGATAAACTCATTTGCCTTCCTCAAGTGACAATTACACTAAAATAACTTGGAACTCTTAAAATCTTATCTTTTTTAAGCTCTCCTTCCAATTTTTATTTTTTAAAATTTTTTGAAACAGGGTCTCACTCTGTCACCCAGGCTGGAGTGCAGTGGTGTGATCTCGGCTCATTGCAACCTCCACTCTCCAGGTTTAAGTGATTCTCCTGCCTCAGCCTCCCGAGTACCTGGGATTACAGGCACCTGCTACCACGCCCAGCTTATTTTTATCTTTTTGGTAGAGATGAGGTTTCACCATGTCGGCCAGGCTGGTCTCAAACTCCTGACCTCAAGCGACCCACCCGCCTTAGCCTCCCAGTGCTGGGATTACAAGCGTGAGTCACTGTGCCCAGCCTCCTTCCAATGTTTTATGTGAAATTTGGTCAGAGATGCAAGGTTGGGAAAACTTAAAATTTTTTAATACTCATGGCAGGGAAACCAAATCCTTTATCTCAATGAAGAATAATCTATACTTTTGCAACACTCTATCAATCCTCTCCTCTCCCTTCCCTGTAATGGAAACCCAATGGGTACACTGGAACCCTCACTGTTAGGCTCTACCCCATACCTTCTAGATTCATCCAGGATGGTACTCAGGCATACAAATTTTTTTTTTTTTTTAAACTCTCATTCGAGTCTTACCAACAGACAGGTAGATAAGCTCTCTCACGATTCTCAGCTTTATCGTTTTTTGTTCCCTCTTAATACTTTTATGCAAATGAAATTGAAACCACCATAAGAAATCCTTGTTAAGGGGAAAAGAGCCCTCTAAATATAGTCAAGGTTAGGCCTAGTTGTCAACTTCCTAATCTGTGACAAAACAGGGGCAGGAATCTCTACCCTAAATTGCTGCTGAGGTATCAATGCTAAAGAGTTATTTCCTGTTACTATCATTGGAAAGGAATGAGACAGCTGCAGAGAGCTTCACCAGAACCTCACTGATGGAGAGGTAGTCATCGAAAAAATAAGACAACTTGACGGGAGGAAAACAAAATACTGAATAGGCAGATGAGAAACAGAATTATCATCAGAGTCTTGCCACAAACAGGGAAAAACACAAACCAAGACGACACATGGACATGGTGGATTAAACATTCCTCCCCACCTTCAGGATACATTTACATTGCAATAAATACTGCAATCTCAGCAGCAGGAAACAATGAGGAACGTAAGAAATGCCTACCTCCTCCCCTCTGCCTTATCTGTGTGCTCTCTTCCTTGGTAGCACCAATCTCCCCAGGTGCTGGGAGAGAACAGGACAGGGGAGAGAGGTCTGTGCATGCTCACTTGCCCTCTGGCCGTACCCCGAGCGCTCAGCAAACAGCCCTCTCACGTTCCTATGGCAGACACTGGAGGATGAAGGGCTGGCTGTTGGGTCTGTTCTTGCCTAAGGCCACATCCTAGAAAAGCAGGGCCTGTCTGGGGAGAAAACATGGCCACCAAACCCCAACTAGTGACCGGATTTTCCAACTGACATTCAGTTACCTGTCTACCTCCTCCCTCATCCTCAACTGATGGCTAAGGCTGCATTCCTTCAAGGCCTTGTCCTGATTGGCAATAAAATAAGGAAAAGGGGTGAAAACCAGCATTCATGATGAGGTGGTGTCCTGGCAGCCCCCATCCTTGTCTGTCTGACCCCTGCAGCCACAGATGAGGAGCAGACACTGGGCACACAAACCCTCCACTAGGCCCTTAACCAGCTCTGGTTCCCTACTCTGCACTTCTGCTGATAGCCACCCAGAAATTCAATCTGCAAATAACTTAGAATCCAGCTTGTCCTGTGGGGATCACTAACAGTGTTTCCGTGAGAGCCGTTCTCAGCATTTAGGAATGGGTCAGGAGATGGCGGGGAGGGCGGACTCTACTCCAGAAACCGCGGTCAAGGCCAGCTCTCCTACCAGCCTCACTCCCAGAAACCCTAAATACTGTCCCAGCACTCACTCTGTACAGTTCAGCTTTGAAACATGCTATCACAGCTCTTCAGTGGCATTCAACTAAAAGGCAACATCTTAATTAGGCAGATATGCTCCAGGGACAAGAGCAAAACAGAAGGCATGAACAAGAGAGGA